CTTCCACTGAGGCCACAAACTTGACCAACGTATATTGCGGGAACCCAGGATTGACCTAGGCATCAGTCGGCTGCCACCTATGCAGCCCCTACAGTCACCAAACCTCTGGTCGGGGCTTATTAAAAAAGGCGACACCCCTACACGATATTCCCATTCGATATTGCGCGAACCCTGGATGCTAATCTGTCGGTCCCACCCTCTGAATAAGAAACCAACTCTCCCGACTATATTCCTATTTGTCAGTACCAAAAATCTCGCATCGATATCGGGTTATTATCCTGTCGTTCCTATCACTCGTCTCCGCCGTTACCTGGTCATCATCGCGATTGACGCCGGACTTTGTATAGCGTACTCGTGAGTTAATACTATTAATTCACCCGTATGAGCATTGATTAAGGATTCTGCAATTTATGCTGAGCACTAAAAAAACGCGTAAAACACGTACTGCATACACCCCATAGACACGGCTCACCATGAAGAGTGCCGGGAGGAGGAACAAGCCGTTGATAAGCTGAAAATTGCTCCCGTAAAATCCAGTGGGCGTTCAGCAAGAACATACTCCAGCAGAAAAGAAGGGCGTAGGCGAGAAATGTTTCATGAACGACATACACTTCCTAGAGAAGTATCGCGCCGTGTGGTACACCAAGAATGGCTAGAAATATACCACATGTGTATTTTTTGGATCTCGCCTTAGGCTTCTTCAATGCGGGGCCATTCAATGCCCACTCGCTAGCACTCGTCACGCAACAGCGATAGCAGATAATCGAGAAATCTTTATTCGTTTTATTACCGAATCTCTTCTGACACGAGTTTTTCCTCAGTAGTAATTATCCCTGCGTCTCTAGGTTCATGTCAACCGACATCGACGGTTCGAACGCGTACGAAACACGAAACAAAGCTGAGTCGACGCGTACTAATAATCGGAAGAGCGAGCAAGGGCCCTTATATTGTTCTTTAGGCCACATGGAAACGATTGTCTCCTTGTAAATTATGCTTGACCTATCAAATGGATACTGAGTATTTGAGGTTATTCAATATGGTGACAACGATCAGCCTATAACGAATCGCAAGCGCCGTTAATGTTCGCTTCCGTCTTCTACCTACGTACTTCCTCGTATCTCTATCATAGGCCCACCCACAACGTATTCAGTTGGTCCACATGTTCAAACGTTCCCTGCAGCATCGTCGTCGATCGCCTTGTGAGTGTGCTAAGGTAACAATCGATGCCTGTGACTACTGGACCAGTGCGGCCAAGGGCAATGTGCGGAGGCAGTACGCTGTTCACGAATCCGCTCCTGACTCCAATCAGAGGCCATTCCAAAAACTATTGGAGTCAGGAACACTCACCGACTCTCCATCCAACTTGCCTGAGAAAAATGCATCCAAGGTCTCAACGGCGACGCGGATATATTTCCTTTGTTCTGCCATTTCTTCGACTGACAGAGGGATTCGTTCGACTCCACGAACGGACGCCTGCCGATAGAAGAAGTCTATGTTATCTTCTTCGAGCAATTGTCGGAGCCTGCGGCGGCATTCATCCCATACAGGAGCATCCCGCTGAATCCGGACGACCAACAAAATATTCTTCTTGATTTGCTTTTTACGATATTCATCTGGATCACCGGGACCGACGGCCAGGATGGAACAAACATCGAAAAGGATGTCAGGCGTGTGGAGATACTCAGTATGTTCCTGTACCACCGAAGCTTCAAGACGAGTGTTTGAATGTCCAAACACGGAGAGGTAGGCTTCAAGAATTTCCACCAACCATGGGCAATATCCGTGATGTCCAAAATACTCCAAGCATCGCGAAGCATGAAAGACGCTGTACATTTTTGGGCTGCCTTCCTGAAGACACCTGGCTATAATTTGACCTGCGTACATGGGAACAAGGTTTTTGGAGTTGTAATGATCAAACATGAGATTGACGACCGTCTCCAGAGATCTGGGTGACATGCCATGCCATTTCGTACAGACCAGCTTGGAGTAAATCCACAGAGCTTCGGCATGCAGATCAGCGTCTTCTGTCATCGGGATAAATTCCAGGGCTTCCATAATGAGGCGATCGAGGACATCAAAGACAGCAGAACTCGCCTCAGGTAAAAAGAAGCCGTGGTCCGTAACGCCCTGAAGCGTCGTGGTCAGGGCTTGGAACTCCAATGCGTCTGGCTTTCCTTGTCCTTTCAAGGGAAGCCTTGAGATAAGGAATTCGGCGAACACAAGGAGAATCCGTAGGGTCGGTGAAAGGGAAGCAACGTTTGAGGGTCGCATAAATACGGCAAACATTTCTAAGAGGTAGGCGGTCATTTCAGTGAATAGATATTCACGGATGGCGACATGGAATGGTACGGCCGTGCCACTTGATTCGTCCATCGTGTCATTGGCGGCGTCGGGTTCATCACTCGAAGAAGGATACAAAAATGCTAGAAAAATTGTACAACATATATCCAAAGTGAAAGGATCTTCAGTGCCGACATCGATCGGGGAGAAGAGTGCCTTCGAGGGACCATTCTTAATGAGGTCGATCCAGACGAGGAGATGTAAACACCAACATTCGTCCATGGAGGAATGAAAGAATGATACAGCGCCGTTATGGGCAACCTCTTTCATGAACGGAATTACACCGCGATAATCTCTGTGTTTTTCTATCGAGGCCGTAAGGCTAGGTAGAAGCTCACCATCTGGTGTCTGTGAGGGGTCGATGAAAATATAGCTTTCATCAGAGAGAACTAGCTTGCAGCGTAGTAACCGCTCAAACTTCGTCTCTAGGCCAGGCACCGGTGTCTGATATGTGAGCGACGGCCCAGAAAGACACTCAAGAATGGACTCCATCAAGTCAATATTATCGAACAGGCCTTGAGCCTTGCCCTGCAGGGCTGGATGTAAACCACCGATAGCTTGCATGACGATACTGTGGACAGTAGGATTCGACGACATGGAAAAGAGCCAATGAAGGGCCTCGACCGATAATTCACCCCATACTGACCGCACCGCGTCTGACTCCAACTCTTTCAAGCTCTTCCATATCGCAACATTGGAAGCAGACTCGCCAGTCGGTGTAGCATGCATGATCATCTCAGACCAGTAGAGACGGTGCTTGAGGCTATGAACGGTGTACTGCATCACACGACTGTACAAGACGTGGATAAGGTTACACAGCGAGGTCCGGTAGGGACATTGGGGGAAAATGAGGGGGAGAATATGTGCCATCAGGTAGGCTGTATACGCGACAACCGTAATTGTGCCAACAACCCAAGCAATGGATTCACGTAAAGGTCCCAGGAAGATAACGAGGCCAACAAAGAAGATGGCAAGGGCTGCATGCATTAGAGCAGGGAGCAGTCCGATGATAACAAGAACGCGCCAATTCTGCAGTCCTGCGAACCGGAATTGCCGCAGAAGGCTACGCTCGCGAGGCGTTCCGGATGGTAAAGCCATGTAGTGGTGGAGCCATTGCTTGACAAGTACCGAGACGAGAGCTGTCGTCAGGCTGAGTGCAAGGCTGGTGAACCACAGTCCGTTTACCCAGATACTCGTGCGTGAAGCGATGAACGCAGTGTTGAGATTAAGAGGCGAAGGAGCGACAGTGTCCAAGGAGGCGCCGCTTGCAATAGCGCGCTGGATATTGATCATCTCGAACAGCAGGTTAGCAGACATTTCCGTGTAGTCTGCCTGTAAACTCTGTGATGTTTGGGCGACGAAAGTAGAGACCTCCGCCGAGAACAGACCCGCCTGGCAGAGCTGTGAATATAGGAAGATTACGGGAGAGAATGGACGACGTACGAAAACGAGAAGAACATCGACACCATCCCTCGATTCTTCAACCATATTCGCGTCATATATCGCGCGTTCATCGAGGTATGTCCGAAATACCCTAGCGTTCGGACCCATTTCTTCGCACGGAGCATCTTCAGGATACTTTTCCTCGTAGTTGGAAGGATCGTTGCCTGAAGAAAACGAGATAAGAACAATTTCATCAGCGTGCAAGTGTGAAATACCTTTGGGAAGTTGGAAAGGAACATATCCTCGCAATCCAAACCTCTTGCTCGACTTGGTAGGATGAGCATATTCAGGATACGGTTGAGCTGTAGCGCCTTTCTCCTCCCCCTCGACAATTTCGGGTTTTGAGTCCTTCTCCACTTTTGCTTCCGAGTCGGCAGCTGTGAGTACGGCATCGCCGGTAAGGGTATCGGTATTGAACATTTTGGACCTTGGTGGGCGAGCGTGAGCGTAAGAGGCGAGGGACCACCGTACAGCCATCAAGGCACCACAGTGGAATTAAGAAAGCAGACAAGAGCAAACTAGAACGGAATCTTCCATAGACAAATTGAAAGCGCCCATCAGGATCGAGTACACTGGAAGGGTTCTATTCCCTTCCGTGCCCTATGAAACTGCCGAGATATATGCCCCTTGTCCTTGTCTGAAGAGTCGACGGTCAAGAAAGATTTGTTGTTTCCTGGCGCAAATTGGGAAGGTTCGGCGAGATGAGAGTTAGCATCGTGAGAATGAGGTGTTGGTCGAGGCAGGAAAAACGATGACATCGCAATAACAGAGTACGAATCATTACGCGTCGCAATGAGAGATCAAAACCTCCTTGCCGTTCATGACGGAGCTTTGTTAGCGCTCTTCCTATTCTCGATCGCGTTCTTTGTTCTTTAGGGGTACGCAAAGACGTAGCAGAGCAGCATGCACGCAGTTTTTCAGTAGTACCGCCACACCTGACTCTTGTCACGCCACCTCAGTGTCGTTGCAGCCTTCCAGCCCGCCCTCACTGTCAATGTTGACCTCGTTGTCTATTCAAATATAGGCAGCTCCCTCACCACTAACAACTGCGAGTCGGAGTGGCCTGTCCCACCGTCAATAAAACCCTGCAGGTGAACGTCGGTACCCATGGTAAGGAGTGCATTGAACGACTCGAGACTAGGTAAGGAGGCACAATGTGGAAGATGGAAGTCGGATTGATATACCAGTCTAGCAAGTCAGGGGCAACATGACTGTGTGGGGGTATAGCTCAGCTGGGAGAGCAACAGACTGAAGTACGTAGCTATTTTCGTAGTGGCGCTTCTGGAGGTCCCCAGTTCAATCCTGGGTGTCCCCATCTTTTCGTCGAACCAGCGCCTTTTTGCATGGTATTTCGAGAGGTTTCGAGAATCGACTCAGATCTTTGAAGTCTAGTAGACTTTAATCCTAAGTCATTCGTTGTTCCAAGTCCTGTCTTGTATTTTCGTTGCCGATGCTCTCTGCTGGCACGTACACAAGCCGCATTTCTCTACCATGGCGACTTGTAAGTTGAGGCCGAAGTGAAACTATTCTGACCCGAGTGCTGTCCATGTCGACGTCGGCCCGATTGCAATTTATACAATGACCAATGTCAGTCAATCATCATAGTGATCACTTCGTGTAGAATACCCCATTAGATGTACTTGTGCGGGGATCCATTCTCCGACTTATTTAATCAAGAATGTCAACGCCAGTAGTAAAGTTTGCTTTGTCTCCGAATTTGATTGACATTGACCCAGGTCTCAACTAGTCATCGAAATCCTCGGGAAGAAGCTGAATCCAAGAAACGAATTGTGTATCCCTGAAAATGATAAGTGTCCATGTCACTCAGAGCCACTTCAACTCACGATCCGACTGTATTCCTCCACCCTCCCGAAAGGGGCGGCGGCTTTGATTGCGGCTCGTGTGGCGCATATCGGGGCTGATGAGACCAATAGGGCTCGTAGTTATCATCAAAAGAAGTATGCAAGTACATGGGCGTTGCCATGGCTGGCGGCTGATGCGGGAAGAAAGGCCGGGGAGGTTGCCGCACCCCGGGAGGCTGATGACGCCAATGCGAAGGCCCGAGTTTGACAGAGGTTGCAAAGTCATGGATGTAGGCGTGTCTAGACAGTCCAGTTCGAGTGACTAGACACAGATTACGGTCAGAATGACATGAAGGGATGGATGGACTTACTGAGAATCAGATCATGGGGTTGTATGCCCAGTTCACCGGCGAGGGAGCGAGACTCTTGCATGAGGAAACGCCAAGCGTCCGCGGTATTAGCTATAGACTGTTCGTGGGTTATGTCACAGTCCATCTGCGCTCCCGGAGGGACCACTATCGGCCAGCTGAGAGAGATTCCATCAACGATTACATTTAGTTTGTGGGAAAAGAAGTCTACCATTGAATATCATCTGTCAAACTGAACGGATTGACGGACTGACGGGTCATCGGAAAGTCCTTCCAGCAGAATTGAGTACCATGACACGCTCTCTCGACGATGAACTTGACAAAGTCGTCACGGAATGTGTTTCCTAACAGTACAAAGTCCTTGAACGATTTACCAGACGCCGCATGCCTTTTGTGTCCATGAATGTACCCGAAATCCCCCACTGAAAACCGACACGGAAGGACTCCCAAGCTGGTGTACCAGGCATAGTCGTGAGATTTCGCGTCTAGGCTTGACAGTCTCAGCTGGCGAAGAGAAGGCGCTTGTCCCTTCATCAGACCATTGAATGGCGCATCATCTACGTCAGTCAGCAATGCTCTTATCTGTTCGGGAAGGCCATGAGGCTCCCGGGCTTTGGGAAAAAAACCCTTGACCAATGCCGCGACATGATGAAGTCGCATAATCTCGTCGTCATCTAAGGATCAATATCCATAAACAACTTTCACAACTAAGAATAAATGAATGCTCACCAATCAACCCGTTTCTGTTCAGTATCACCGAACCTCGGGGTGGCAAAAACTGTAAGAGGTCATGAGAACCGGTTCGAATTTATAGACCTTTTATAGCATTAAGTGAAACGCACTTTCATAGCAGCAGATCCTATAGTATCTGTGAGGCTGTAGTTTCTGGCGGTCACCCATGTGCCTTCCTTGGGCGGCGGGAGGCCCATGATCAAATTTTTACCCCCGTCTGCAGCGAAGGCTACACTCTGCACGTTACACAGTGGTGAGCCTCAACCGGCGCTTGCATAATGAAGGCGAACGACCGAACCTCTATGACGTCCTGCACTTGTGAGTCGGTCAGCTCGAGCTGTCGTTGAAGGTATGCGGCGGCGTTCTATGGGGGCGCATGAAAAAAAATCAATAAGATCAAAATTAATCAAAAACAGTAGAGCGAATATGTCCGGAGAGTAACTTACGGAAATATCGACGTACTAAGTGTACAGATATAAATTCAATTTGAAGAAGGTCTTCCGTCGGAGTAAAGTACTCACAAAATGCAGAACGGTGTTTATGCATCCAGCTAAGCCGAATTTGTTTAGCGAATCGATCAGGAGATTCTCTGGAGATCGCCTTTGGACTGATGACGGTGAATTATTACCACCTATTATCGCCACTGGAAAAAATTTTCGTACCATGAGATAGGATAACAAACGGTGTTCCAGCTTCATTTGCAGATACCCCGATCATTTGGGGTAGGTTTGGATGGCTATATGTATCCCAGTTTGATGTTAGTATAGCCACACATGTGCACGAGTGAGCCCGGGACTTGCTATAAATTTTGGAGGATCTTCACGTCATGGATCCACGCCTACAGAAGGACAACGTTAACCCCCAGCCAAATACGAAGCGAGAAATAGTATCCTCGCCTTAACAGCGCCGGCCTTGGTACCTTGATCGTACCTTCGGATAAGCGTAGGTTCCCCGTAGACGAGTGCTTCGTTCACGTCCGACCACCAGCCACTGGAAGTAGAAGCTCCGAATGAACCCTTCAAACGAACTTCTGACTGGCGGTATCTTCGGAACTAGGAACCGGTGGTGTGAAGACATGAAGCAAGATGTGGCTGTTTATTCACTTACACCATGGTTGTCAAGGTCGTCGAGGGCGTATTGGAAGTCATCTTGGACTGTTTCTTCGGGTTCGGCTCTGTCGGTTTCGTGATAAGGTGGAGGCGTTGAAGAACGACGTGGCTTATGAACGACGGTTTCAAGGGCGCGGCTGCCCTGTGCTTCTGTGACGAGCTTGGAATCATGTCTCCGGGCGGACGCTTCGACTGTGTATTGGATGTTGATGAGCGCTGCTACCTACGCCATGGGGTTATTGACATTACGAATGAGAGGTGGGAAACATGCCTGAAACGCTTGTGATGCCTCGTCCAGCAGCTCGGCGTATTCATTTAACGCGTTTTCAATCGAATTTTTGCGTAACAAACGGCTGCTCCATTTAGCTTGTGTCTCTTTTACCATGAAGGCATGTATCATGGTCAGCGTCCTGGATAAAAGTGAGCCCGGCGACCTCCCCTAAGATATGCGTATTAGGACACACTCTTGAAGACGACTGATATTCTTCAGCAGCAATGGAGACGCAGACCCCCATCTTCCCTCCATCTGTTCGTTAATATTGAATAAAATCCGAGCGCATTTGTGGACAAGGCGATGACAGGCTTCTTTGTTAGACTGGAAAACTGATTTAGACGCGTTACTCGGTACATTGATACTGACGGCTCGACGAACTTGAACATCCTAGAAGCCTTTGAGATTCGTCAAAAAGAAGCCCTTCATAGAACACACACCTTTACTGTCTCCAATATCTTCTCCAAAATGGCGAAAGCAGCACACGCCGGCGGAAAGATGGCCATCGTCGACATCTCCTTGGTCAATCCTGATGATAGAAGCGCGAAATTAAGCGCGGTGCTTGTACGTGCTATTACACGGATCTTTTTCAGGGCCATTTCGGCGGCAGCGAGTGAACTGGGAGCGCCTAGTCAAGTGTGCTGTGTAGGAGACCACAGCTGTCGGAATTTCGGGAATGGTAACCCCCTGTCAAATGCCATTTGCAGCTCTGGGTCTGATGGAACGCATGGGTGTTTCCAAGTAGGTTTTCTCGGGCGCGAAAGGAGAGAAGAGATGTTTAACAGTGCTTTGGACAGCTGGTGGGAATAGAACAGTGATAGTTAGGACGAAGCAGCCGTCGTGTGGGCCGACGTATGTCTCCCACAATAATTATGTATCATAGCCGACATTCGCAGCTGGAATGCTACTGTACAAGCTCGAATCTTCTTTGTTAGTACTGATAACGAACGAGAGTCGTCGTGATAGCGTTGTGTATTGTGATTGGAGAGATGATCGGGCCGAGGTCCGGTCTATCTGAGCCTTTGTACATAGACGGCAAGTGTACTTAGTCGCTTTGTGCCATTCGTAAACTCAAAGGAAGCGTTCTCAGTTCTGTCTTTGCCTGAGCCTTATGGACTTGCAGGCGAGTCTCGGATGCGGCCTAGATCTGTGTTTACGACGTTGATATCGGACGATCTGGTGGATCAGAATTTACGACGAGAGATATCTATGAACAGTAGGGGCGTATAATCTTCGCCTGCTCAAGGTTGAGCATTCCCTCCCGGTAACAGGGTTGATTTCGACATGAATACAACGAGGTCATGCCGAACAGTCAATTCATGTTTTGGACTCATCTGGTGATCGATTACCCTTGCTTTGCGGCGCGGGATATGGTTGCTATCCTCAGTCTCTGTCGCTGCTCAAGCTACTGCACCTAGGATTGTATTACACCAGTGAGACCGTACTGAATGTGAAATTTGTCCAACTTCTTAGTAGCATTCTCGGTGTCCGGCCGTCTACTACAAACCCAGCGGATGTCATGACTGACTCCGACACTTTGAAAGAGTTTAACCGGCTTGGGAAGGTGGATTCCTTGACATCAGCAAGCACTTGAATATTGATTTTGTTTTAGTTCGAGAACCTACGATTACTAGCCCAGTCTTACTAGAAGATCTACGGTGGAGCAGTCAACCTCTCAGACTCGGCTCGGATTGTTGACTCCAAACCGACTCTGAGCGGTTCAGAAACCACTTACCGCACCGTGATCGGTGCAAGTACACACAAGATTGGGCCCATTTCAGCAACATAGTCCGGCATACGGGTGTAAACACCGGGTTGTTCTGCCGTCCTCAGGCAACCAGTAGTCAGGGGCAACCCCCCGTCGACCTTTACGATTCTATTCTTGAGTGAGTTACTGATTTTGGACATTCTCATATTGAAATCCTAGCGTCTTCAAGAGGTGACACATCTTTCTGTACCGCACGGCTTGGTTCCTGACTGAAAGACAAGACACTATTATTATCTAATGATGCAAGGAGATATGCTGGCTCACG